CAATTCATAGCTAAATTAGTTGAGAGTCACTTAATAAGAGTTCTCGAGGAGAATCACCAAAGATTGCTTAAAAAAACAAATTAATTGGGAACCGAAGGTCGGTTTCGAATTAATTTAATTTTTTTATATGTTAATCAGACTACTTAATGTAAAATGTTAAAGTTAAAATGTATGTGCTACTAATTGTCATTTCGCATTCTAAGCTTAGTTATTATTTTAATTACGTTCATTAAAAAAATTAAAAGTCATTTTATCCCTCTACCAACTAGTTTCTTCGACAGATATTAAATAAAGAAATTGTAGGCAGTGCTTCCTTGTGTATAAGGTTTTTTCTATAGCGTTCTGCGACAAACTCAAGTGAAACATTATCTCTGACCAATATCGAGTGTCACTTCACGAGTGGGCGGTGCAGAGTGTGTGTGGCGCCCTCTCCGACGTGGGCCGACGACGGTAACTAATCGATTTGCATCAATTTATAAGTGCATTATCAATAAGTCACCGGTGCTGTTGACCGATAAGACTGCTAGAGGGGATGCAACAAACAAACTTCTAGTCGCGACTTTAATAATGGAAACGATCACTGTATAATCACTAACTACTTAGTTTTGGAGGTAACAAATTAAGGTTGTAAAATACCACTCTGCTTTGCTTGAGAAGCAAGTTAAAACGACAAGAAAATATACCGAGAATTTGCAGAATCCTACATCATTAATCAAGCTTCGCTACAGCAAAATCGTATCGTTATCGTTTTCATTTCGCTCCTCGCTAGTGAAATTATAAGTGTGGATGAAACTAGCAGAGCTGATTCTTTGCTGCAAATTATTTCTTCCTTAATTGTTTTAATTAGTAAGTAATCATAGTTTAATAGTCCTTTCCTAAGGCAACAGTTATTTAAAGACTAAAAATTGCAGCATTTTTCGTCTTTACAGCATAAACTATTGATTAACAATTTGTAATAGTATCACCGACGCTACAAAAAAAAACTACACATCAACCAACAGTTACACGATATAACGTCAAGTCGCTAGTCGGCGAAGCTACCAATCTAAAACAGAGATGTTTTATTAGCTATTGACTACTATAAACTAAAACTAGTTCATGTCGCTGTCACATAAGGTGAATTTTGTATATTGAAGTTGGTATGCGAATATTTAAATTAATAATTTGTCCGTCAAAGTAAGGTACAGTAATAGTAGTACACATCCAAAACTCTTAGAGTAGGGCGTGAGATATGGCACTGCAACCGCTACTCGGACACCATATGCACAAACACACAAAAAAAATGTCAATTTATGTTGTAAGCTACAGTCTTCGGTGAATGCAGCTATACCAACTGTAATATACCAAACCACACTCCAATCACCTTCGTATTTATTAAAGTTGCAAGATCCCTGTTCTTTAACGTAATGACGATTAGCGGACTTTCTTTATCAACTCTTGGTTACTATAGCTAGCCCAACACATAATGCCCGCTTTGTTGTTTCTTCTAATGTACATGCATTAGACAAAACAACAAAAGAAAACAACGCATGAAAATGATAAAGATATTTAAAAGTATAAGTTTTATTGCATGGACAACATATATTATATTAGTTTGTAACCTTGCTAACATGGCAAGCTATGGAAAGACACTAATTTAACACTCCATTTTGCATGTCTTGTGAGTATAAAGGTAAAAAGATGTAATCACAAAATATTTTTTTTATGTTCAATAAGTTTTCCTACAATAAGATTAAACTATCTTTCTGCAAATTTCTTTACTTATTTGGTATGATTAACATTAAAGCGCAAAACGTTTCACTTCCTAGTCTAAGCGAATTACACTAACACACATATGTCACATGACACATTCGTTTACATAATTCAAAGTTATTGGCTCCTTTGAAGATATTCTAAATATATTTGTTGAAAATGGATTTAGGGAAAATGTCATCATGTTCGCGTATTAATAATTGATCAGTCTGTATCTGAAAGATATTCTCTTTGGGAGAAATCGAATCGAGAATCGAATAGTAGGAGAACAGACAATAACAGTAAAATATGCAAAATTACATTTTATTAAGGACCAAAAGACTTGCTTAAATACCATAGAATAAGATACTGAAGTGGCTTCTTGCCACAAATATACTTATAAATGATAAATGATGAATATTTATCTACTCTTCGAGTTAATCTAGATTGTAAGATATTCTGAGAAATGTTTTTTAGCATTGATCGGACATAGTGACGGGATGTGAACTAACGTATTGGATTAGCAATCGAGACAATGAAGATCGAATCCCACCCGGTACCTACACTATTAAGAAGAACTTACTTCTAACACGAATACTTAGCTTAAATATGAAAAAAAATATTACAGTGCCTGTTTTGTAAAGCGAAAACGTGTTTGTTCCTTAAAACCACTTTCTCTTCGAGTATGACATTCCCGGCTTAATTATGATTACTTTTTTAGGATCGAAATTTATTATGAGAATCATATGAATTAATTTGTCAATTTGACTTGACTAGACACAATTTACTCAAATATAATATAATTTGAATGATTGGGGCGATAGCAACAGCTAATTAAGATCAAGATTCTTTGGGACAAGGGAAGATTGCAACATTAAAAAATAATAAACAGTAAAAACATATGACCGTATTGTATCAACAATCAAATAAAATTACTGTTAATTTAAAAAAAAAGAGCGGGTCTATTGACTTACACAAATAAAATGCGCAACTAACAATACGCAAGTAATTGTTTTAACATTTCTACGACTTGTATGCACATTAGATGTGCAAATCAGCACTCACTATACTCGCGAAATTTAATTGAAAGGTCCAATAAAGAAAAGTATCGTACTTTATCCATACTACCACGATTAAATCTCGATTTACACATATAATAATAACGCAATTAAACAGTAGGTTTAGAGGTCAGCTGCTATCTAACATGTAACCAGTATACTTCATACTTACACCTATAGGTAATGAAAAGTACATAAATAAATTTAAATAAAATCTTTAAAAACTTAGGTGCGCTTCTCATACATCGTGATTAGTTGTAAATAATCAGCATCTGAATTGTTGAGAAACTTTAATTTGGGGGTTAGAAAAACTGCATTAAAGAATTTACATAAGTTGTCATTCACAACCAATAAATCGAACCCACTCAAGTTTCATATGTTCAAGTAATATTATTGCACCACGTATATTTAAATGTCTGTAGTGTATATAAATGTGTGTTTGCATTAATCGTAAGTATAGAACCCGCAGCCGTATAAAATAAATCCCTTTTCTTCTTTTTCTTATAACAAGTACAACAAATCTAAAACATAATTATATCAATATCTTTTCACCCAATAATATTCAAATCTTATTAAATAGGCGGTATGCGTGTCTCCTGTGATTTGTTCTAACATATTGATTGTGTATTCTATTCTATTAAAAAATAAAGTACTATTATTTTGAGCGTTCAGTTTTTCTCAAGGCACATTGAACGCACAACACTGGCCACAGTGATGTACAAATATTTAGTAAAATAACTTACACTATAACACATTTTTGCAAGAAAGTTGAATGGGTTAGATTTTTGTAGGACCGATAATTGTTTTATATTTTAAGCAAATATTTTTTTCTTCTAAACTCAATAATCACCCGCCTCTTTTATAGACATTTGAAATTTAAACTTTTCCTGAACCGACGCTGAATACAACTGTAATATCTTATGCATAGACAATGTATGACATATATCGTCATACGCAAGTTATAGTGATATAAAGAATCATGCGGGATATGAATCCACAATCGTCCTACGTTTCGGAAAAAGATACGTAATATTTTTTCGTGATTGTTTTAAAAAAGATTGAAAATCATAACAATATATCACAATATTTTGGAGTGTTGGGGATGAGATGATTTATCTCTTTTTTTACACATGATTTTGATTTAATAGCGTTAAAGTTCATAGTAAGCTATTCTAGTATGGTGTTTGTATTACGAAATTCATTTGATAGTCGCAGTGAAAATTTTAATGTACGATAGTTCTAATATATATATAAAAGTATTTCATTTAATACAATATTGATATTCCCGGCTTGTACAGATTCATTAAGCATATACATAAATCATTAGCTTTGAATAGTTTTAATTGCACGGATTACAAATTAGGTACCAGGATGTCGCTATCTTTATTTTATTTAGAACGTCATGTAATATTAAAAGTATAAAAGTGAATGTTGTTGCTTAAAAATATTAATTAAATTAATGTATTTTGGGGTCTTATCTTGGGAGAAAATGTAAATTAAACTAGAATACAAGATATTTCTTGTACAATTTAAGCGTTTCGACTATTACATAGTCTCATTGGTGGTGGACGGCAATGCTTGAAATGAAGCATTTTGATTAACGAAGAAGACAGTGAAACACTCAACCGGAGCTATCCAGATGAGATTTACTCAAGGTCAACGGCGTCACACTGACGAGCGACCAGGAAATAGGCGGAGTTCCATCTCACAAATACGAGATCATGAAGTATATACTGCTCTCTAGCCAAACATTGCCGCTCACGAAAACATTAAAGACTCACTTGCCTGACGTGCCGAAGTGCAAGGTATGTTTGTTAAACACCTTTGAAGTGAAGGCAAATCGATACCGAACACGTTTAGTAGGTATTCCTTTCCGACCCCGTTATCGGAAAAGTGACTTTTTCACCGGTTTTGAGATTTTATAACTTAAGTGATCAAATTTAAAATTTGACACTATGTAGTATAAAATCAAGCGTCACAAAATTACAGTAACAAGTATAAACTATGGAAGCACTCGGTGTTTACGTCTAAACACCGGAAGCTGTCTAAGATTTCAATTTCCAGCACGGACAGATTTTTCGAAGGGAGCGTTCGATAGCTTTCGATACCCGAAACGGACGGGTCGTACCGGGGTATCGCCAGCCACTGGCCGCTCGGAGCTGCCGGGTCCGGGGCGGGGTCGGGGAGAGCGGGGAAAGCGGGGAGCGCTCCTTAGGCGAAGTACATGACCTTCTTGGTGACGGCGTGAACGGTGATAGCGCGGGCCATGGCGATGGGCGTGCGGTCCTCGCTGCAGCCGGACTGGTGCGAGCCCTCGCCCGAGTCGTGCTCCTTCTCCACGAGGTGGTAGCGCGCGCGGAAGGCCACGAGGTGCGCGTAGTAGGCGGGCGCCGGGATCGACACCGAGCGCGTGCAGCGCACGTACGTGTGGCACAGCTGGTACGTCAGGCACTGCAGCTCGTCCGACCCGAAGTGGTTGTCGTCCCACAGCACGTGGTAGTGCGACGGCCGCGACGTGCCCTGTTCACACCCAGCTCTTTACTTCCCTTTCGTACTGCACTCCAAGCTTATTTTGGTCGGTCGATAATTTGGACGATTTCAAATATGGAAATCGCCACCGAACCGTATGTAGACCATATCGACCGACCAAAATTTACTATTTATTTACTAAAAATATAAATTCGCAGCTGGCTTCCTCCTCTACCGATTCGGACCAAACAGTTAGTGCAGAACTTCTACGATTACGTTAATTTAGCTTAGTACTACTAGATCCATGTGTCGTAACAAGTAATTCTCTATGTGCGTCGACAAGAGCAGGTAAAAATTGTTTTCAAAAAGTTTTGAATTTTATCCTATCCTAAGTTTTTTGGAATAAAGTTAAATCATTCAATATTGAATTAAAAACTATATTCAAAATTAACGTAATCGAGAGCATAAAAATAGCTAATACTATTCATGTGATATTAACACTGACCTGTATTCCCTGGTGACTGCAGAGATAAAAGTCGAACTCGGTAGGATGCGTGATGCCGAGGTCGACTGTGGTGCCGGCGGGTATGTTGCCAGACTTGCCCGATTGTTCCTTCTTATCAGCGCAAAATAGCCTCGTGTGATGTCTTTTTTGAACTACTATGAATGTGATACCAGGTTTGTATTCCGCTTCCAACTACATAAATAAAGATTACACGTTACATTCATAAGTAAGTTCATCGTTTTCCGTAGTGAAAGTTTTCAGATCTAAAAGAAACTGTTGTTAACATTCCCGTTATATTAATCTCATATCCGCGTCCTAAGACATTCAAGGTTCAATTTTTTTTTAATATTTTTCTAGCGTTTTATGACTAATGATGGTGACCTTAAATATCTTGACGTAATACTATTGAGGTGAACTTTCAAAATGTCAAAATAAAGACTTAATTTAATGACTTTTTTGGTTTAATTGTCTGGACTATGAATTATAGTCCAGTTTGTAGTTGAAATTACTCCCGCACTAAGAATATATATAATATGCCTGTGTAGCTGGAGACTTTACAAACATTTATGAAACAGACACAAAGAATACCCAGACTCGGAACAACAATTTGGGAATCACACAAATTAAATGACGGGTGGTAGTGGATTAAAACTTACCTGTATCAGTCTTGTCATTTAATTGAAAGCAACTTTAGTCATTTACTTTTTAATATTACGAATCGCTTGATCATTGCAGTGAGGATTAGATTTCAATATCCTTTATCTCTTGCCACAGATCGCCTCTTCTCCGCTGAGGCACTTAACTATATAGTTTTTTAGTAACTGTTGTATAAATATGGACTTAATAGAAAAAAATACCTTGATACAAGCTTCTCTAACGGCAGTGAGTTCATGCTGCAACACGTGAAGGAACTGACCCTCCGAGATACCGTCGCGGTACATGATGATACGGTGAGGCTTGAACCCGCCTGTACTCTTGTAGAACATTATCAGCAGCTCTTGTACCATGCTACTCATCTCGTGAACTATCTCTTGTCTGGAAATGGACAAACTATAAATAATATTACAATGCGAAAGGTAATTTTGCACTAGGAAATTGCAATATTATCTGCATCAGCTTTATTGGACGCAGATCAATGCCTATAGATACGACGGATAATTAGGCATAGGCAGGTTAGATATCATTTGAAAGGACATGAGACATACCCTAAATATGTGTGAAATGAGGAAAAAAAGAAGATATTCAGAGACAGGTAAGTTTGTATTAATATGTAGAGAAAAGAGTCGTGGTTGCATTATTTTACTAGATAGAAAATGAGACTGTTTTTATGCATGACTTCGATAATTTCGATCGTGACGAGTAATGATCGACGAATACGAAGATGGCATGGGCAGTCCATGCAACAGCTTTCATTTAGACTCTAATCTACTCGTATGCGAAATCGTGAAATGTGTGACCCACCCGGGTCACACATTTTACGATTATTGCTCTTGATTGTAATGAGTGTATAAACGAGACCGAAATACTAGCAACAGTAGCAACTTCCATGAGTTGACAATCTCTAGGCAAGAAAACTGTTTTCCTGTATGAAAAGCACAGTCAGAATCATAAGTGTATTTGTAAAATATAGGATTTAACAATATTATCCATAATATATGTGTGTACTTGCAAGACAAAACAGATTGCTGATAAACTAGTTTGCATTTTTTTAATACATACATAGTATTTTAAACAATAACACACACATGACAAATGCTTGTGCTCATGACACAATTATTCGCCTTTGGTAAGAATGAAACTCACAGTTGGGAATTCTCTTTTTGGCAATAAGTACTCCGTGCCCTTAAAACCGCTCCCGGTTGTCCAACCACTATGTCCAACTGGTTGTGGTTTATAAGGGCGACTATTGCTTGTTTATTGCATGTTTATTGATAAGGTAACATAATTTTTGTAATACTACCTCAGATTAAACAAAAAAGGGGTTAACAAACTATGAGTGAAATAAACTTATAAAACACAATTTTAACATTGACCGATAAATTGTTAATTATTTTCGTTATTTTTTCCGTAATCTGCGTTCTAAAATACATCTAGTATCATAAAAGCACCCTCGGTCACCAATTTTTTGCAAATTCAAAGCTACGTCGACTGGACTACGGTTCCACTTCTGCCACCGCGCGCGCAAAAAGTACCTGTTCTTTATTGACTATTTAAACAAATATATATTTACCAAGCTCCTCCTTAATAGATAAGTGCCAAAATTGTAATGTTTTTCAAAAACTAAAACCAATCGCTTGAAAAAAAGGTCACTTTTTACAAAAGTTAACAATTTTCCAAGTTTTGCAAAAAAAAACGTGTATTTTTGCAAATTTCGGGTGATCTAATGGTTCGACTTTGCTTATCCCGATAAGGTTCATTCTATTTGTATTTTTATTGCACACATTTGTTACGTTCAACTTTTTTTCGTAGGGGTTTTAGTTTTCGCTCCAGATGCGAAAAACTGGTTTTTAGCATTTTTAACATTTTCTTGGCACTTTAGCTGACAATATAATGTTTTAATTTTTATTGCGCAATTTTTCCGCTTCAATAGGAATTTTCTGGATTTTTCAGGTTTTTGCCGCCAATTCTACCTATCTATATATTGCGGTTCAGAAAACAATAATAGATAATCTTTTTGTCTTTATGTTAGTTGATCCATGGATAAACCTGTATTGCCGTGGTACAACCAGTTGGACATACTCTTGATAAATTCATTTACCGGTGTCCAACCGCTTACTCACATGGGGTACAACCGTTTGGACCATGGATAGTTCTAGTTATCTGTGGTACAACCTGGACATAGCGGTTGCACCAGGGGTCGGGAGCGCTAAACACTGCCTTGTCCTAGTGGCGTATTATCAGATTTTCAAGGAATTATAACATTTAATAATAACTAATTAATAAAAAGATTCACTCTATCAAAAGGAAACGCATTATTATTATTTCGCACACACAATGAGATTCCTTAAAAATGCAAAAGCATTTATTGGCGCTTCTCATATGGCTCAAGTTTGGAAACCCATCCCAAACGTATTGTGTTCATATTATATCTATTACTAAGTAAGTCCGACTAAGTGGGAGGAAGCTGTTCATGGACGACCATCGAAGGACATTCTTTGGAGCCTACAGTCGGCGGTTATCAAGCATGTAGCATCCAGTGTATAAGGCTACCTGTGTTGCTGCACGCGGACGGTGGCGGCGTATCGCGAGGGGTGAGCGTCCATGGAGCCCACCACCGCGGCGATGGACGGCTTCTTGTTGTCGCCGGCCGGCGGGTGCGTCACGTCCACGCCCAGGAATATCACCGGCTCGTTGAACACCTGCACATTCATATCATGTAATCGCCGCTACTCCAATATCATACATTTTTGAGTTCTGTGTTACAAGAGTAAATTCAGTTTTATCTATTCATAGTTTATTTATTCGTTGGAACTTGGTGTCATACCATATGAACATTTTTCTTCTAAATAATCTTTGGGATGCAGTCAAGAAAATTGAATATAAAAAAATTGAATCGTTAGTCAATTTCAGTAATTTTGAATAGACTAAAAGTTTTCTAATAAAAAAGTAAACACAAATTATTAAGAACCTTCTGTTGAACAGTTCACGCAAAAAATTCACATAAGACATCGTGTTTCGGCTTCATTAGTAATCATTCAGTATTATAATGATATACACTGACTGATATACACACTTTTAATGAAAAAAATAATATACCTTTGGACGAAGAGATGGCACCAGAATAGAATTAATTCCTCCAAGTTTCACGTTGATTTTGAGGCACAAATTGCTTAGAGTCTGAGGCGATGTTTTGTTCACATTCTTTGCTTGAACACACTGCGTCGCCATACCTAGTACAGTATCTCCTACGCGCTTTACTTCGGCTGTAAAGTAAATATTACAATATGTGTATAAAAAATACACCATTATAATTCGATCGATCGAATTGATTTTAATATTATAAGGGCCTGAGTTTATAAAAAAAAATAATATATACCATAGACAGGCGTTTTCCCTGGCAACACGACAACTACAAGCTGCAACTGGACAAAAGTGCTCTTGAGGTATTTAAACATTGGCTCAACTTGGTCCGGGCCTGTTGCATACTTGCAAAAGCAAGGTTGCCCAATTATGGGCATACCCGCGTCATTTGATATCTTCTGGAGTTGTTGGGTGAAATTTCTGAAAGACAAATATTTTATGAATTTAAACCATAATATAAACTTTATTAATTTTAATGAAAGCAATTGGAATATAACTAAATAACATAGGCATGTTATTGACAACATTATAGTGGAACAACATTAATAAACAATGATATCACAACTTTCTAGTTGTTTTATTTATAAATACTTACTTGAGAGCGTCTTCTCTGACCGTCCTTTGCGGGGCAAAGCAAGCTATGGCCCAAACTCGAATCTCCACTCCCATAAAGAATTGTTTTCCCCTCATATCCCATACGCCCTGGTTAGGCAACGCCTGCTATAAAAAATTAATGAATGATCCAACCATTTGAGAAACACTAACTGTGCTATCGCCTAGAGCCTCTTTTGTCTATAGATTTTTTTCATTTCAAATTTCTACTATAGAAACAAAATATATTCTGTTTTAATTTGTTTATTATTGAGTAACTGTTAAATTAAATATGATTTAAGTAATGAGCGCGCACTGCGCTAAAATTGGCCTTCAGGGAGATGACCGATGTTACATATCATAAACTACTACCGACGTGCTAATTTTTATTTGAATGAAAAGAATTTTTCCAAATAGCAACAGCATTTCAACACAGTTTATGATCTTACTTGACCGCCGAGTGAAGAGACTCGCCCACCATATTGAAGTTTAGGTGGAGGCAACACGCGACCTCTGACCTCCATCATGTTGTTAGAGATTGTTAACCCAAACTCCTTTACGTACAAGTCAGTGTTAAAGTTCGCTCGGCGGACCAAATTATTTATTTCTCGTTCCCTGAAAAGAACAAGACACAAGGTGAACATTTGAGAGATACACCCAGATTCTTATCAACTATCTCTACATAATATAGGAGGAGGATATTCTACTAAAGAGACAAGTCCATGACTGGGATTACCATGGTAATTGACCATTTTAAGCCATAACAATCTTGTTATCTACTAACTAACTAACGATTTTTGCATTTCTGGTTTATCTATATTTTATGTCTTAAATTTGATAGGGAGATGGTTAAATAGTTAGCAACTGCCCGGGAGGCATACTTTGAGTTGAATATGCCTACTTAGAACAGAAAGTTTTCTATCTAAACATTACCTGCCAAATTTCATGACCCTAGTAGAACATATGGTGACGATGAATACGAAGTGTCTCCTATTTATCTAGTGGGTGTCGTAAGAGCCGACTAAGGGAGGAAACCACGCAGGACAACAGCATAGAAGGAAAACTTGAAACAAACCCTGTAACAACCTGTCTGGCCAGGGTGGTATAGTAGGCCAAAACCTCTTTTCTAAGGTAAGGCCTATGTCCATTAGTGGACAAATTAAGGCTATTGATGGTGAAAATAAAAAAATAATAATAATCTTTATTTATTAGACTTTGTTGTCTCACTCAACTCATATTTTTTAAATTGAGTGTGCTAACGACAATATTTAATGATTCTAATAGGTAGAATTAATAATGTACTATGAATACTAGACAACTGATTTAATACATATATACTTAAATTTATATATTGTACATAGAAAATCCCAGACCAAATCAAACAAACGTTCAAGCACACCACTGTTTTTACTTAAGCGGGAATCGAACCCGCGACCTTTTTCGTAGGAGTCCGATACACAATTCACTACGCCACCCGGCCGTCAAAGATAGATAGAGCTAGGTATATAGTCTGTCAATGGACGTATGTATGGATCCTAATACATATACATAGGATCATTTCCTCAATGCTAGAGGAAGGAAAAGTACTATTCAAAAACTATGTTTAAAAATGTCTTGCTGGTAAATCATTTTATACTATTTTAGTCAGTTGATGAAAATTACAAATTATCTGAAATACACATTATGCTTAAAGTAAGAAAAATAAAATTTAAATCATGTTGTGTTGTGAAGGGAGTATTACGTTTAGTGACGATTATCCAAACATACAAAATTCATATAGAATTTCTTAGTATTTACAAATATAGTGTAGTAAATCTTGTAACTTATTCTTTAAAAAGTTTAATCCGGAGATTTTCAAACTTTTTAATTTAAAGAGAACTTTAATTACATGCATATTGTAGATTTTAATAATATGTGTTAAGTGTGTTTTATTATCAATCTTTTTCATTTACATCCTCTCTTTTATTTTTATGCATATTACCTGACTATTATGTATTTTTACGTTAATAGACCAGTATGTACTATATGCACATGAGCAAATGTATGAGCTAGAGATAAAGAGCTTATTTATGTTGATAAGAGAAATCAACCAATTATCCTGTTACATTTCTGTTGGTATTTACCTGTCTGGAGCAGAGCGGGCTGTGGCCTTAATCATAGTTGATGTCTGCATATCAGTTAGCTTCTTTATACATCTCTGTCCTGGTACTATGTTACATACTTCTAAGGGTAAATATGTATGTTTATGCTCTTGTCCTACTTGTAGACAAGGTAAGTGTGGATACCTTAATTTCATCTTATACTTGTCCAAGAAATATTTAGCTACAGTACATTCAACCGTTTGCCCATTCTCTAGTTGTAGGGGAAACCTGAAAAAATATATTTTATTAATCTTCTTGTCGAGTCCTGTTGAGAAAATGCCCTTTTGCTCACATATTTTGTCTAACATAGATAATTCAATATGTACTCAAACTTCTTATATTATGAACCCTGAGACATTTAATAAAAAATCTCTCTAAAACTGTTTTAGTGAAATCCTATGTTTGGCAGTGGTTATAATAATAATTTATGATAATAAAGTAAGATCATAATAAAGTTTATGATAATAATAATATTGGTGATAGAATTACAGACATATTATTATGCTGAAAGCACAGTATGATCACTATTTTAAACCAAAAGTCACTAAACAAACCAGTCTTAAACTAAATTCTTTGCAAGTACAAACTAGTGAGTTAAACCCTTACGATTGCATCTGTGAGGGTCGACGAGTTACATTGCACACTCTGTATTTTCTCTTCATTGTTCCGCAATGGGTAATTTCAATCTTCAGGCCTTTTATTTCTTTTGTGAACTTTACTCTTTGGGAATCTGTCAAAGGCTTTCTTTGATCATTAATATCTCTTATATCTAGTACTTCACACATAAATTCTATAACTGGCTGTGCTTTGTAAAAGGCGGTAGCAGATACTGAAACGAGACAAAAAATACATCTATATGTGTAAATGATTGAGTGTGATTAATTCAGTAAGTTTCAATTAAATGATTTCGATTTTTGATAGAGGCATTTACTTACCATCAATATTAAGCATCATTTTCCACTGACTTGGCCTCACAGATTGATGAAAACCAAACCAAACTTCTCTACCTCCACCCAATGGGTGGTAATACCCTTCAGGAGAGGAGAAAAATGATCGTCCAACTGGAGTATACATCATAGAAGGTAGATGCCTCATAACTACGTCTAAAGCTAAAATAGCGTCATATGGAATCTGCCTCGTTCGACCTTCAAGAGCCTCTTCTAATGCGAACAATGAAACCTAAAATAAAGCAAAAGTAAAATCTGTTATTTTGCTAAATACTGAATAATCTGCAAGTCTATTGTTCTTCAAAGTATAACTAGATTTTGCAGGTTGCAACACTGTTGTTATTTTTATTTTACTTCCACAACAGTAGCCATAGCTGGCAGAATTCACTGAGGTATGTATAGTAGTCATCTAGTAGTAGTGTATTTGTATAGGAGTTTTTTTTTAGATGAAAAGTGAAGTTTGTGAGGAAAACAGCAATCAGGTGTGAGTGTATGTAATTTGGTGTATTGAGAAAAGTATGCAATACCTATAGCATCTTTAATCTAAAAAAAACAGTATCCAAAAAGCAGATGGCTTGATCTCAGGGCAGATTTCTTTTCAAATCAAGATTAACCCAATGGTCTGTAATTGAATAAATTAACATCACACAATATGTAATGTTTATATGTAAAATATAATTTTAATAGTTTAGTTGTATATATAAACGCACCAACATCAGCCACATTCACTGCACATATGTAACATAATATTTGTATGTCTAACATACCCAAAACATGATATGTGAAAACTATTTAAAACTGTCTTTCGATTCAATATATAAACAGTTTACTAAATAGTTCCTTAAGAATTTGTAAAACTACATACACTGATATTTTAATAAAGTTAGTTTTTTTTTAATTAATCTAGATTTTTATTATTATTTGAAAGTAAAGTATGACATACTGAATAGACTTCTTGTATCATAACCCTTATTGTAAGGCAAAGTACAGGCTGTATATTAACATAAATATTAGCCATAGTATTAACATATTCTAGAATAAGTACAAATTAATAATAGGAGCAAGGTCTGAATATTGCACCCTAAAAATAACCTGGTTGTCTTAGAAGTCATTTTTACAATGACTTTACCATACATATTAACTAACTTCTCAGATTAATAATATACTAACTTCTCAGATTAATAATTAGACCATTACAAATATGAAAATGAATACTAGGTCTTTACCTATGAAATTGCCGTTTTGTATGCAATAAGTGAAAGTACTTATTTTTTCAAACTTTTTTATTTCTGTTATTTGAAGTAATCACCCATGCAATCGACGCATCTTTGCCAACGCATTGGCAGTTTATTGATGCCCTTCTTGTAAAAATCAGCTGGACTGGAGGCAACAAACTCTTCAAAGGCATTTTGTACTGCCTCTCGGGAATTGAATTTTTTACCCACTAAAAAGTTGTTTAAATTTTGGAAAAGGTAATAGTCAATAGGTGCAAGGTCTGGTGGTCACATCTGCAACCAGCTTTGGTCAATCGGTCGTCCCCACTGCTCCTTCACGACAATGCGCGACCCCATACTGCGCAACAGACAGTCTCGAAGCTGCAAGAGCTGGGGTTGGAAGCTCTTCCTCATCCGCCATACTCACCAGACCTTGCACCTACCGACTATTACTTTTTCCAAAATTTAGACAATAATAAATATTGAAAAATTGCAGTAGTAACATAATAACTAAAGACTTGCAAGCGAGTGGTTGCATGTGTAAACCCCACCCTGTACACTGCTGTCGTAAACTCACTTGTAATACAAGCATTTAGCTCAGCTGAGAGGTTAGCAAGAATAACTCATGTTGCCAATATTCTATTTAGAAAAACACCAGCTGAAAATTGTTATTACGGGTTCTCTTCCACGGCCCTTATTATTCTAATATTTTTCATTGTTTTGTCCTTGCACCATTATGAAATACTCATTTCAATATTCCAATTAATAATTATGAGAAATTTCTTATTACTTACTTGCGCTACCCATTTTATGCTGACACGAAACACTCTGTCTTTACCTTCACCTGGCAATATAACCTCCAATTCAACTTTGTCATTTCCAATAGGTAACGGGTCTCTTGTATATAAATTGTTTCTGCCATCAAATACTGGTTTGAGTGCTCCAAATATTTTGTTATAACAGTGAACCATGGTTTCAACAATTTCCCTATTGACCTAGAAGAAATAAGTACAATGATTATTATATGTTTACTGTACTAAATAACACTAACAGCTTTATAGAGTCTATCTTAATTGATACTTATTGTATGGAGATAAAATATTTAAAGGCATAACAAACCTTTCTGGGGCATTTATCTGGTTGTATATTGACGTCATAATGATGAACAAAACCCCTGGGCATGGATATTTGGAAGTGGTTAGCCCGAAGCATAATCGGCCTCCCTTCATGACCGAGATTGGGGCGACGAGGACAGGTGAGGGTAGGTAGTTCTGCTAGGGGTGCAGGTGACACGAGGCTCATTGCACCCGCTGCTGCGGGTGTGCCTGGAGTCGTAGCACCTGTTGCGGGGGCAGTGCTCGGCACCCCGGCCGCAGCACCAGGCGTGCTCGCGGCCGCGGTCACTGCCCCCGCAACACTCACCGCACCAGCATTCGTGTCCCCCGCTGGAGCTGTAGAGTAATCACTGTATAGAGTATACCATCTAGTACAGGTGTCATAAACAATCCCACTGTAGACTCACAAAAAACGGACATTTACTTGTTTTTGCATTTTGCATTGGCTGTCTGATATTTAGAACAATCAAACAAAGTGGTGCCCCCTTACACTACAAAACCTACCTTGACCAACGGGGTACATCCTGATATGTCGTTGTCCAACAAAAAGGAGAAACGCAAGAAAATACACAAATTTATTGTCGTACAAAAGTTACAACGTGATAAATCGAACAATAAATTTTGGAAAGTGTCAAAGTAAGTCGTCGCCCTGTTCTAATGCTGTGTCTAATGCTCTACGACCATAGAATTACCAGTATGTCCATGTGTGTAGTAAGGTTTCTACCCCAAGGCATTCATTTTCTACTAAAGTTTACTAAAGCTGCTAAATTACACTCCTTAAATCTACCAACAAAAGATCCAATAAGATTTTAAGTTGGTCTTACAATTTGAATCAAAAAAGATAAAAGAAGAAAAAAAAGAAAATGGTAAAATAAGAAATGAAACCACATGTCTGTCAAATATTGCGACAAACCTGTCCTTTATAAATAATCAATGTGTAGTAACAGTGAAATAATTACAACTACTTTCTTCATTTAACATATTTCTCTTTTCAATATTTTATGTAAAAAGCATGTATGCAAGTATATTATTGAGATTTAACTCACACTTATTTCCCCAAAGCTTCAGTCACATATTTTAATGTAGTCTCAACAGTAATTTTTCAAAACAGATGTAGGACTCTAAATATCTTCTTGCTTATTTACGATATTGCTGCTGCCCTTAATATCCTGTGAGCTGTCGTGAGTTCTACACTCATACTCGTATTAATATTGCTTTTTCTGAATAAATTAAAAATCATAGTTTAAGATAATTTTTTGCTTACAAATTCACAATGCAATTTCTCATTAATAATAATAATTCTTTACATAACCTCCATCACTCCACTCTATTCCACCATTTTTTTTGTGCGGTAATCTTCTCAGATACCACCAACTGGTGGTTATGTTATACTCGAACCAAGGAAGGAAATCCCTGCTACGCTTGTAGATGACTCTCTCGTGACTCTGGTCCATAAAAACCTAATGTTGCGCCAACAATGGAGTCTTTGCCTTTGGAGAGATTGAACTTTTTTTTTTTTGTTGTCTAAAACTAAAGCTGTATCCTAATATTGAAGTACCTACATTTGATTTGGTGCCAAACTGTGACGATCTTATTTATGCATTTCTGAAAAAAAAATGGTTTTAAATAGATATCAATGATGCATGATGAATATTAAAGTAATCAATGGTTCAACAAAACATCTAAGTACCTTAAACCGAAGAAGGGAATACACAAAAACTAAAGAGAGTATTAAAATTACAGTACAATCATGTATTCAACAAAATAAAACATCGCAATACAAGAATAATAAAAATCATATGAATATAAAATCCATATACTTTCCTATGATTTTTATAGTGAATTCCATTTAAATATCATTATTTATTTAAATAATTTGCACTACAATCACATTAGAATAAATATCAATTACAAAATGAAGTTAACAAATTATAATGTCATGATCATTAACGTTACGGGTTGTTGCTAATTGATCACCTAGATAACCATTATTAGTACCAAGTTGAACCAATATTATTTTAATAATCGTCGGTTTTTATTAATTATTTAGTTATATAAAAACGCTGCTTTCACCGAACAAATATTGTAACGTTACATTACCTACATGTTTAAAATTTTAATTCATTCAAATGTGTAAGTTCAAATGTGTCAGTTGAATCCACAATTTGTCCGGTGTATTTACACTAGTATTCTTGCATTCAAAAACAGCACACCAACGACCGATAGAATTGTAACTAATTTTTAAACTATAGGTACATAAATACTATCAGTGTATTTGTTTTTTGAATGGTCTGCAGGTCTAATGGTTAGTGACCCTGACTGCTACGCCAGAGGTCGTGGGTTCGATTCCCACCCAGGACAAATAATTGTGTGATGAGCACGGTCATTTGTTCTGCGTACTTTATCTATAATATGTATGTTTTTAGAAATATATAAGTATTTTTATCAGCAGTCGGGTTACCATAGTACAGGCTCTGACTAGTTTGGGCCGTGTGTGAAATGTGTGAAAATATTATTATTACGAGTGTATTATTATTATTATTTTTTACACTGCCGATTACACCTCGTGACCACCAAGCAGAATGCCGTCCACTAAGTCCGGCGTTATAGAAATGTACCTTTATTGCTCTTATCGTCTTAACGCAAATATTGCATTTTTTGTCGCTTTCGTTGCTCTTTGTAAGAAATATTGTTTGTAAGAATAATTTTATTTCTTACAAAGAGCAACGAAAGCGAAAATTCAGTAAAGAAAAATAGAATAGAATAGAATAGAATAGAATAGAATATATTTTATTTGCATTGATTGTAGGTACATAAAATAGTGATGTTAACAAGTTTTCTAATCCTTATACAATCTACCTGGACTAGGCATGCAAACATTAAAAATGCATCAAAAATTAACAATAAATTCAAAACAACAAATAAATTTTCGAATGATTACAACTTATAATATTAATATAAATAAAGTGGTCAAAATAATTACGTCAGCAATATTGATTGAAAGAAGGAAAATAAATTCAATGTCAAATAAACATAGGTGATGTCAAAAAAACTAACATCTAAAGTTTATCATTCAAAAAATCATTAATTGAATAATAACACTTATTTAGCAGAAGTGTAGTCAGTTGGTTCTTGAATGTTTCTAATGTTTCATTTTTTATAACATTGGGTATTTTGTTATAAATAACAGGAGCCATGCCGAAAACATTCTTCTTCAGTAACGCAGTATTATAACCACCAACTTGCAACATATTTTTATATTGACTTCTAATCGGTCCTTTCCTTGTTTCTGATATACATGTAAAATAATTTAAGTTAACCCTTACGAAGACTGCAACTTCAAAAATATACATACACGGAAATGTCAACAACTTTAGGGATTCAAACATTGGCACACAACTGTCTGTCATTTTTAGACCGCACATTGCCCGTATGCAGCGTTTCTGTGCTTTAAAAACCTGTTCTCTTAAGGTGCAATTTCCCCAAAATACAATCCCAAACCGCAGAATCGACGCCACTAAACCATGGTAAGCTGTTAATATTGTGGTTATACTCACTTTTTTTGCTAAATTTAATAGTACATATGCAGAAGTACTTAATTTTTTACACACCTCCTCTGCTTGGGGTTTCCATGTTAACTGACTGTCGATCAATATTCCTAAAAATTTAGCAACATTTACTTGTTCAACACCTTGTCTATTATATTCTACTGTTAGATTTTGTATTGGTTTACGTTGATAAAAATGCATTATGTTAGTTTTTTTAAGATTAATTAATAGATTATTTATGTCAAGCCAGTTTATTATGTCTTTTAAAGTATGATTAATGTCATTTTCATATTCATCGATGTCCATACATTTTATTACTACGGTGCTGTCGTCTGCGAATAAAACCATTGGGTGATGGACGTATCGAGGCAAGTCATTTATATAGAGCAGAAACAAAAGTGGGCCTAAAACACTGCCTTGGGGTACGCCATATTTGACAGTTCTAGCTTCAGGCAAGTATTTCTCCTCTCGTTTTGATTTGACACAGATTCTGCTAATTTCGGTATACTGCTTTCGATTACTGAGGTAACATTTCAAGAGATTCAATAGATTACCTCTGATACCATACACGTGGAGCTTGTGAAGCAGAATTTCATGATCAACGTTGTCAAAAGCCCTTGTCATGTCTGTGTAAATAGCACATATGGGTATTCTTTTATCTACGTGCTTGGCTATTATATTTAGAAGTTCGTATATAGCTATATTTATGCCCCTTCCCTTCCTGAATCCCATCTGTTCTTCGCATAAAATATGATGTTTATTTAAAAAAATCATAATGGAATGGTAAATAATCTTTTCAACAATTTTTGAAAACACGGGAATTAAGGCTATGGGTCTATAATTTTCAAGTTTATCTTTGTCATTTTTTTTATACAGTGGTTTAATTATTACTGTCTTTAACGCGGTTGGAAATACGCCAGAGCAAATACACAAATTTATGATGTGACTGAGGTGTATTACAATGGAATTAGATACAAACTTTATTACTTTAGTAGCTATATCATCGTAGCCAACACTATTCTTATTTTTTAATGTTTGAATTGCTCTCATAACGTCTTGTGGTATCACAGGCATCATAAACATCGTGTTAGTATTATTAATCAATCTAATGTCCAAGACCTTCGGTTTTTATTACTATTTATTTGGTCAATGAAGTGATTGTTGAAGTAATTAGCAATATCTTTCGGGTCTCTTATAGTGTTATTATTTACTTTTATTTGTGATATGGGCTCAGTGTAGCGTGATTTGTTATTAATTATTTGCCATGATGCCTTTGATTTATTACTAGCGGTGTTAATAAAATGATTATTTTGTACCTTTTGAGTTAGCCTAATAATTTTAAGAAAGCGATAAAAAGTTCAGTAAATAATAAATATTTTACCATTTGGTAAGATATTTATTATTTACTGATTTTTTCTTTCAACTTGTTATTTTTGCTTATTTCCTGTGTAACATACTCATTGACTAACTGTGTAAAAAAATCTTGAAAGTTATTTTAAACTACTTCTGTAGAATAGAAATCAGAGTCCTTTAAAAAAACATTAACTAATTTTGTGTTCAGTATTTTTTAGGTTCAAAATTGGAATAAACAATAATAATAACATAAGATTTTTGAAATTAATTATTTATCCAACCATCTCAAAAGACTGCTAGACCTACACTGTAATGTATGTCAGATGGTATACTAGTACTAATGTGTGCTCACCCTTATATTATTTATTGATCGAATAAAGTTATTTTCGAAAATTAATATGTCTATCCCCTACAGTGGAACTCTTCGTCGATCCGGTGGAGTTGTTTCTGCTATTGGAAAACAATTAAGAAGCGTCAATTTGAAAGCTGCGAAGAGAATAACCGTGAAATTCGATCCTTTTAGTGACAATGTTACTCACACTCGGTGATTATTAATGTTATTGACTCTATATATTGATTATTTTATAATATCATTTCTGCATATCCATTTATTTTCTATTGACGTTCAAATAATGGGGCAAATTTATATACAAAGCAAACATAACCTTTTTCATAACAATGCGTATATTTGATAGGCTATGTAGGTATTGCTATCCAACTGGGCGTAAACAAATATTTTAAATGAATTGTTATTTATCCTACTGGCTGCATTTTACGTTAACTTTAATATCTATTTAAGTATTATTAAATCAATAGTTCAGTCGACCATTCGATGTTCGACTATAAATAGAATTCTGCTCTTACATAGTATTTGCCATTAATAAGGGATGATTTATATTAGACCGCGCCGTGCCCGGGGCGTACCGTGTACGTGGCCCGGACGGGGCACGGATTTGAAACGTTACATACATTTTATATGAACCAGTTTATATTACACAGTGCATAATCCGTGTCCCGTCCGGGCCCGGACGATGCTCGTCTACACGACGGTTGCTGCACGGTCCCGCTCCCGTCCCGTCGTAATATGAACGCTCTCCCGTGCTGCGTACGGGCAGTAAGCGACGAAGGTTTAGTGAGGGAGCACGTACGTTCTTTTTGTTTTACCGAAGCTCAGTTTCCTTGTGATGCGGAAACAAGATTCATTGTTGCATGACTTTGCGGATAATGGACGACGAAAAATTAATAGAACATGTCCGAAAGTATCCTGAGCTTTATGACATGACGCATCAAATACTTAGTCATACTTAGATACAAAGTAGCAACAATACAAAGTCATAATGATTGACGATATAGACACAGTACCTTAGGTTCTTATTATTCTATTCTTATTATTCTTCTTAGGTTCTATTATTAAAAATGTAGGGCCGATGAAGAAAACTAATTGTTAAATTTTTCTCTGACCGCAAAGGAATCGTTAGTAGATTGTCCGTGATGTTGTGGTCGTAGTTGATCAAGTATGGACTGTCTTAATTCTAATATAGATTGTTCTGTATCACGTGGTGTAAAAGCCATGTTATTTTGGTTGCTGATTACATGAGACATACCGCTAATCGTTGTTTAGGTTCTATCGGTGTCGAATCTCGTCTGCTGTCTTGTAAGGGCGGGCTTTAGCTCATTTAGTAAAATGTCAAAGTTTTCCTTGGAAAATATCCAAAGATTTTTTCTTCATGGTCCGGTAAGTATCTACATAGAGTATTAAATTCTCCGTCAAATTGACGCCTTCTCCGAAGAGGATGCACGCTGCATTTCCATTTAATCTGGTTCTTCTTAGTCCTTGCTTCTGCTTCCTCTTCATCAATAGCTATCGCAATAGCAGCCATCTCCACTAAAGAAAACTCCATTATTATTAAATTGCAATAATTGGGAATTATTCACATCACTACGCCATATTGAAGCGACCGTGGCGGCTTGTAACCCGTTGCACACTCGGTGTAGTATACGCATGCAGCACGGACGGGCTCCGCTCCGGCCCCGCCCCGGCCCGGACACGGCGCGGTCTAATATAAATCATCCCTAAGATTCTGCGTAGTTATAAACTATTTAATAAGTAATTATAGGCTGTGTTCCACTAATGAAAACAACCAGCTTCTATAAAGAAACCTAAGTACCTAGGTAGGTATATAGTGTCTTTAATTTGACTAAATAAGTTTTATTTAACATGTTACCTACGAGAAATGTTAGAAGTGCTAAATGCACACCAATATAGCAATAAGAAACATGAATGCCTAAATAGTGCTACAGTTGAAATTTGAATACTCATCTTTGCAAAAATATTCAGGCTGTACATTTTTAATGAGTTGTGTTTAAAATGTATCTATGATTGTAATCAAAGTAATACAATTATTTATTGTTCTACATTTATTAAATGACACACCTAAATACATAATGCAACCTTTTACAATTAGCATCAAATACAAATTATCAAATATAGAATTATAAGTAGAGAAGATTTACAAGTATCTGAATGTACAATATTGGTCAGTTGTTTACTGACCAATATTGTTACCACCAGTCAGTTGCTTACTGACCAATTACATTGAAAAAGTTTGGTGCTTAGGTAGTTAAAGATTGACTTTGTGTTTTCACTAATGAATTGGTAAATGTTTGAACGTCACCACTGCAAGTTTGAATACTGTTAAATTAATATTTTACTTCTAACTGTTTATTAAGTGCAACCTCTATTTTCAACTTTCATTAAACTAATCCCTTTTAAATCTTTACAAGAAATTGAACCTTAATAAAATAGGGTATAGTCCATAGTTGGTTGAAATTTACATCAGTCCAGAATTTGCTAAGTATTTGTTATCTTAATTGTTTTTGTAGTTGTTACATTGAAATATTTAAAACTATAATTAACATAATATCATATAAAAAGCACTTGACTCACATTCATATCACAAATTATATTAGCTAATAGAAATAGCATTATACTTGTTTTAATTATGTTTTAAATTTCTTGACTGCTTTAAAATGACTACTGACCATGCTAATTCTAGTAGGTGTTTCTAAATGTTTACAATATTTACACTGTTTTTCAGAAATTTCCTGCACTACATAAGTTCACCGAAAATAGCATTAACAAATCCAAATTGCTCCCTGAAAACTGAAATTGTTTGTGATCGTAGTGAGCCCACCGTTAACATCACCCTAGCACCTACAATTGCTGGTAAGACAATTGCTGGTACACAAGTTATTAATATGTAACAATAAAGAATCATATAGCTGCCTTTTAGAAGATGATGTGGTATTAAAAAAGGAGAACCCCCAGTAATATATATCGTCACAAATTAAAACTTGACCACTATTGAGTAGCGATTAATGTTAGGTCCTTCTCACCAAACTACAGCTAGCTCAATCTTTTCCACTTTCCACCAGATTCAGAGTACTGCTTAAGTGCTGTCCAAAAATGTCTAGATACGGCAATACAGACTAGTCACGCCACTCTGGGGTGGTTGTCAACGTGTTATCTGCATAACAGATGGTTGCATACAATGTCTACCTCCTTAGGCAGACAGATAAGAGTCAATGGCGGCCACTGCTTCTGTCGGCGCCTTGCCTCCCTCATGTGTTTCAATGTTCATGATTGTCTAAAAACATACTTAGATGAAAGATATCAATGTGTTGATGTGACACAGTTAACCGCTAATGTCTGTGTTGAAGTAGGGAGATACAACTACGGTTTAAATAAATTTTCAGTTCCCCAGGACAGTGTTTTGGGCCCGCTTCTCTTACTGGTTCATATTAAAAATTTGCCAGAAGTAACCATAACACTACAATATTTGCTGATGACGTGTCAGTAATAGTAACTACATAAAAATCTGACAATTAAACAACACGAAAATGACATTAATAATACTTTGACATCTATTATTGACTAGCTGACCCGCGCAACTTCGTCTGCGTCTCTCAATAGTAATAAATTTTCTCTGTTTTTGAAACATTATTCATTGGTGCTCCGCTCCTATTGCTCTTAGCGTGATGATATATAGCCTATAGCCTTCCTCGATAAATGGGCTATCTGACACTGAAAGAATTTTTCAAATCGGACCAGTAGTTCCTGAGATTAGCGCGTTCAAACAAACAAACAAACAAACAAACAAACTCTTCAGCTTTATAATATTAGTATAGATTGGTTGAATTACAAATTAATTTATTAAAAACACGTAATTAATTTCAATAATCTTAATGACGATGCCGTGTCGTGCTAAAATATTCATACAACTGCTATTGCTAAATTAACGAAAAATGAACCGTCTGTAATTACGTTTAAGTACCTATTTCGCTCGGAACAGCGACCGAGCGCGGCGCGATTGATGCTATTTCTGAAAGTGCAAAGGATTTTATTATCTATTTTAAAAGAAATACACGTATTTAGGATTGTTTATTGCATAAATGTTTTTAATATCATTCATTGGTAATGGTAATATCATTCAGTGTTTGGTATAGATAGAATTGGTACCAATATTGGTATTGGTATTATAAGAAGTTTAATTATAGGGTAGGTATAGGTAATTTAAGTTTTGAAGAGTGTGACGTGTACGTTGTAAATAGGTATTTTGTGAATAGATAGGGTATTTTTAAATAGTGTTAAGTGACGAGTTGACGAAGGCTAGCATATTGCGAACAAACTCTGTATTGCATTATTTCTGTAATAATGTTGGAGAAAATAAAATAGTAGACAATTTTTGATCACGAAAATCGCGGTGAGTTAAATTATAATAAAAATAAGTTATTTATGTTAAAGTAGTACTAAGTATAGTGTAGTAGTGATATACCTACCTACAAGTTACTGTCGTTTTTAATTTGCTTACCTCGGACGAAATTGCAATATCAGCAAATAATATTAGCATTAGCAATTAACATGCTAAGACAAAAGATTTCGCAATTAAATAAATGAAATCTAATTAGCATTAATACCCATCACTACTCGATGATGCAAATAGATAGATATTTAGATAGGACCCTAGGCAAAAAGAATATTTCTCGAGGGGCGATCTTCCATAATATCTTCTTCTTAGTCGGGCTATGCAGATCCTAATGATTTATTTAATTTTGTTTTTCAGGAACAGCTAACGTTAAAAACGTCACATTTAAAAGTGGTAATCTCACTTGTTTAGAACTTCTCCAATTATTAAATAAACACATATCATCACTGGCTCCTGTGGAGGAGCCTGCAAGTACAATCCAAACCAAAGCAGAAAAGAAAAAATCCAAAAAGAAATAATTTAAGTCAATTTAAAGATGACGAAGGCGACTAAAGGGAATCTTCACGTTGTAGAAGAGTTGTACAACCAAATACCAGCTTTCACAGATGTATTTTCGGAAGATACATTCTATATGTTTGTTGTGATTTTTGTTTTGTCGACAATATTTGTTGCCTTTATTTTGTCTAGATTCATCACTATAAAACCTGTTGAATAGATTGTATAAAAATGTAGAATTAAAAATTACTATTTACAAACCACACCATACTTTTAATATCAGCCCCGTTTTGGGAAGCAATGGGTGAACCCTATAAACATCGAATCACTTAGGGTCATCTTATGTCATCTGAATTGCATTTACTTAAGTCCGCTGGACACGCGGAACCATCGGTCGAGTTGTATTACAAAATGTATACTTGTATAATAAATATACATGTATAATGTTTTACTTATAGGAGTAAAAAGTCGATCGAGAATCACCTGAGTCTTAAGGTGGGTCAAACGAGCCGGTGGGTCAAACGAGCCGGTGGGTCACAGGTTTGTGTAGTATGTACCGAGTTACAAGCATCGACGAGTGTGCTTTAGACCACAACACGATAGAAGTAAAACTTCTTGGCTAAGAGAGAAAGAAAATGTGTGCAACTCTCTCTCATGCCCCTAATACGTAACGGAACTCTCTCTGTCTCTTTCTATCTTCACTAACTTATATCTCCCTCAGAACTTCCGGTCGCCTCGCCCGATCACACTTTTCGTAACGCTTTGGTCACGCATTCACCAGCTTACTCCCCAAGTCAAGCGTGCGTAAAGAAGTTTTACCTCAAAAATTTGTCAAAGTAGTGTTTTAAGTTAGCCGCGCGAACGTAACGTCGAGGATTGCAGAGCACGGAGATCCTGTCAAGGGCGTCTAATTTTTTTTTTTTTCATTTATGTTTTTTTTTAAATAAGATGATTTTTTAGATACTCAATATTTAGTAGGGAGAGAACTCGCCCCCACCCCTACTCCACCGTCACGACCTTGTTTTCAGTAATAGTGGGGTTACTAATACGAGGGCTGTTATTTATGTATCCAGAAATGGCCAGTTACAGAACAATATTAAAAAGTAATAATAACATTTAAAAATGGAACTCTGGCTGAAGAATACAATTTGTTTCATGTAGCTGTCATTTGTATATCCATTGGGCCTCATTTAGAAAATTGCGTGTCTTTATCACAATCCTTCATCATGACAATGCTAGCTGCCATACAAAAAGCGCCGAAAACACTCACTCGAGTTTTTATCTCCTACCCGAGCGCACACCATTGTTACTCGGGACAGATAACAGACTTTAAGCGTGTCTCAAAGTTGATCTAATTACACTGTTTTTATCTACCAAAAGGTTCACTGTGCCAGATGTGGCGAGGAAGCTACTGATGCAATTCGGTGTCGTACCTGCGGGCAACATTATGACTATCCATATTCGGGGATCTCTGAGATTGGTTATCGAAAATTAGGTGCTGAGAGGCAAGCATCATGGAAATGTCTGAATTGGAAGTCAAGACCGGCTATTTCTAACCCGGACATGGGATCCCCCAAACCTATATCTCTCAGTCTTATTATGCAGGAGATCTCAATCCACTGCTAGACGTCCTAGCTGGTATAAACGACATCAAAAGTGATATCAGTCTGATTAAAACCTCGGTAGAAGACTTTTCTACAAAACTCAAGGACTTGGATGACAGGGTTCGGGCTGTTGAGAGGACAAAGGATGAGGTGTTAGAGATGAAATCGCGCCTGGAGGGCATCGAGAATAGCCTGAATGAGAGAGATCAATGGATATCGTGTCATTCCTAAACCGATATATAAAGGAGGATTTTGTAGCTGCTGCGCGAGCCTGTAAGAACCTCTGTGCGGCTGACATTAACCTCGAGGGAAGTAGACGTACGTATATTATAAAGTTCCATTTAACTGTTCAAAATAAATTATTACTAAACAAGGCTAAAAAATTGGTTAAAGAATACGACTTTCAATTCATTTGGGTAAAAAACTAAAAATTTTCGCCAGAAAAAACCAAATGTCAAAGTCATTTGTAATAAAAAACTACAAAGACTTGTCCAAAATTCATTAATTTTAATTTATCCTAGTTACTTTTTCATATTTTTCTTAGTGTTACATATTATGTCCTTACTATCATTTACCTTATTCTTACACGAAAACTGACCATCGGTTGTTGTTTGCTTGTACGAGGCCGAGGAACTTTATTCCTCGAACCAATCCTCTGTTTGTTGAATCATACCTACCACTGTGTCATTAGTAACTTTTAGATTTTATTCATCATCATCATCATCATCATCATCAGCCTATCGCAGTCCACTGCTGGACATAGGCCTCTCCCATTGCACGCCACTTAGATCGATTTTGGGCTTCTCGCATCCAGCTCCTGCCAGCCATCTTGCGCAAATCGTCACTCCACCTGGCCTGTGGGCGTCCTACACTACGTTTGCCGAGACGCGGTCTCCACTCAAGAACTCGTTTTCCCCAACGGTTATCGGTTCTGCGGCTAATATGGCCAGCCCACTGCCACTTCAGCTTGCTGATCCGGTACGCTATGTCGGTGACCTTAGTTCTCTGCCGGATCACCTCATTTCTGATGCGATCCCTTAGAGAAACGCCGAGCATAGCCCTTTCCATAGCACGTTGAGCGACTTTGAACTTGTGGACCAGCCGTACCGTAAGTGTCCACGTTTCAGCTCCGTATGTCATGACGGGTAGGACGCACTCATTAAAGACTTTCGTCTTAAGGCACTGTGGGATCGACGATGAGAAGACTCGACGTAGCTTCCCAAACGCTGCCCAACCCAACCGAATTCTTCTGTTCACCTCGTCCTCGAAGTTGTTTCTACCTAACTGCAATGTCTGCCCGAGGTACACATAATTTTGAACAACTTCGAGAACGGCACCGTGTACCGCAATCGGTTCCGGTAGTACATGTTCGTTGAACATGACCTTGGTTTTATCCAAGTTCATCCGTAGGCCGATGCGTACAGAAGTGTCAGCTAAGTCATTCAGCATTTGCTGTAGGTCCTGCAACGTCTCTGCCATGATGACGATGTCATCTGCAAATCGCAAGTGAGAGATGTATTCGCCATTGATATTGATGCCACGCCCTTTCCAGTGCAGCGTCTTGAACATGTCCTCTATTGCATTTGTGAACAGTTTCGGGGAAATAACGTCCCCTTGTCTCACTCCTCGATGCAATGGTACGGGCCTTGTTTGCTGATTCTGTACTTGGACGGACATGGTGGCGGCTTCGTAGAGACATCTCATCACTTGGATGTATCGCCAATCTACTTGGCAACGCTGCAGGGACTCCAGAACAGACCAGATCTCGATCGAGTCAAAGGCTTTCTCATAGTCCACGAATGCTAGACACAGGGGCTGATTATATTCTTCGGTCTTCTGTATAATCTGCCGCACTGTGTGGATGTGGTCTATGGTGCCATATCCGCTCCGAAACCCAGCTTGCTCCGGTGGTTGGAATTCGTCGAGTCTTTGCGCAAGACGGTTCGTGATGACTCTCGAAAACAGCTTGTAGACGTGGCTTAGAAGGGATATGGGTCGATAGTTCTTCAACCTGGTCTTGTCACCCTTTTTGAAGAACAAGACGACCACACTCCTACTCCACGCTTCTGGAGTTCTCCCTTCAAACAGGACAGCGTTGAAGAGCTTTTGGAGCTCCCTTAGTACGGGTTTACCCCCGGCCTTCAGCAGCTCTGTTGTAACGCCATCCTCTCCAGGGGCTTTTCCATTTTTCAGCTGTCCAAGAGCCATCTCGATTTCGTCAATGCTAACTTCTGGCAGGTCTTCGGTGTAGTGACGTGTTAATGTGGCTCTAGAGTCCTCATTTTCGGGATCAGGTCGAGATGCATGCGAAGCGTATAACCGGCCATAGAAGCTTTCCACTTCCAAAAGGACTGCCGGCTTCGAAGCAACGACTTCTCCACTTTCTGTAGTCAACTTTGTCAGGTGGCTTCTTCCAAGAGATTGTACGAACACTTTTGACCCCCGATTTTGCTCGATCGCTCTTTCAATTGAAAGAGTATTGGAGCACCGGAGGTCGTGTCGTACGAGTTTACTGATCTCTCGGTTTAGAGTCCGCTTTGCCGACAAAGTGACAGGTGGGTTTTCACGTCGTTTCTTCATCAGCCCTAGGGTCCTTTCTGAAAGCTTCGACTTCCTGCCCTTACGCTGCATTTCACAAAATCTCATACCTTCTTCCCTGAGGATCTGAACCACATTTTTGAGGTTCTGGTTTACGTCGATTGTGGTTTCCACGGCAGCGAATCGGTTTGCCAGTTTTGACTGGAACGTTTCAGATCCTGTCATGGCCTGGAGCCGAGTTGGTCGGAGCCTGGATTTCATCAAACAGACACGTTCCGCCTTAAAGTTGATATTCAGAGAGCCCCGGACAAGTCGGTGATCACTACCGGTATTAAACCTATTGATCACTGAGACGTCTCTGAATATGTGCTTTCTATCCGTCATGATGAAATCGATCTCATTTCTAGTCATAGCGTCGGGGCTTTGCCACGTCCACTTCCTTTGGGGCTGTTTCTTGAAGAAAGAATTCATCAAAAACAGCCCCTCCCGTTCGAGGAAGTTGACCAGCATTTGCCCCCTATGATTCCTGCTTCCAAATCCATGGGATCCTACTACCGATTCGCTGCAATTCTGTACTCCCACTTTAGCGTTGAAGTCACCCATAACAACGTTGTAGTGGGTCTTAGTTGTGAAGTGGAGGGCCCTCGATATGTCATCGTACATATCCTCCACCTCGTCGTCCGAATGTGCCGAGGTCGGTGCGTACACTTGCACAACCTTGAGGCTATACCTCTCGGTGAGCTTGATAATGAGGTACGCTACCCTGTTCGACACACTGGAAATTTCCACAACGTTGTCAGATAGGGACTTATTCACCAGAAACCCAACCCCACCTTGGGATTGTTGGTCTCCCTCGCGGAAGTACATTAGGTGGCCTGACT